GTTCTGGGAGTTCTGGGATCAGGATTCTGGGAGTTCTGGGATCAGGGTTCTGGGAGTTCTGGGATCAGGATTCTGGGAGTTCTAGGATCAGGATACTGGGAGTTCTAGGATCAGGATTCTGGGAGTTCTAGGATCAGGATTCTGGGAGTTCTAGGATCAGGATTCTGGCAGTTCTAGGATCAGGATTCTGGCCGTTCTAGGATCAGGATTCTGGCAGTTCTGGGATCAGGATTCTGGCAGTTCCGGGATCAGGATTCTGGCAGTTCCTGGATCAGGATTCTGGCAGTTCCGGGATCAGGATTCTGGGAGTTCTGGGATCAGGATTCTGGGCATACTCTACTAGTTTTTTTAATCCATTATTTTGGATCAGGCTGTTCCAGCCTCATGGTCGATTTACCAGAACCTTACGTGTGTGCAAACAATTCCAGATTGATGAGTCCGCCCGGTGCCATCGCTCGGCGCCGAGTCAGACGTGGCTTTTGGTCGTGCAGTGTGACCTTTTAGATTGCGTCAGAGCGTCGGGCCGCACAGCAAAGAACATATTGAGCCGTGAACCTTTAAACCCAGCAGTTTGAGTTAAGCTGAGTTTAACCATTGAAAATGGCCGCCTTTAAAAGCCATCCTGTCTGTTTCCTCTGTTCCCAGATCTGGTTCTGCTGGATGATGCGCTGAATGTCAGAGCCACGTTCATCTCAGGAGAGGAGGTCTGGAAAAGAGACGCATAGAAGAACCTCGGTGCCTTCGGATTCTTTGTTGTTTGCTTCTTAGAGTTTTGGTCTGGAACCAGATCAGCCTCACTGAGGTTCTGTTCATGTAGCTCTGTTCTGGTGGTAAAATGAGTCCACTGACATAAACTTCATCATATCCTGGATTATTGGAGCTCTGAGGATGAGAGGGAACTTCCCTGAAGGACCAACGGCTGCCAGGAAATCAGCAGCAGACTTCTTCCCATCCTCCCCATCACTGAAGCTCGTCAGCAAGGAGCTGCTGGAAGATCTTCAGGTCCTCAGGAACGGCAGCCTGAAAGCATTAAGAAAGAGGGAATCTGACTTCAACAACAAAAAGGAGGATCCAGGAGGATCCAGGAGGAGGAAAATGGCACCAAGAGATGAACAGAACTCCAGAATGAAAAGCGCTCCTAATCAGAAACTAAGACGAGCCGACAGCACCGAGCAAAGACTAGAACATGAGCTAATGCTGAAGAAAGGACCCAACAGAACCACAGAGAGAACCACCTCAGGAACCCAGCCCAGTGGAACCTCCAGGGGTCCAACAGAACCAATAAAAGGCTCCAGTTCATCTCACCCAGTTTGATTCCCATTTTAAGCCAAACTGCCAACAGCTGGATTTCAGTTTTTAACCCCCAGTTGACAAGAACTGTGATTCTGACCCATAAAAGTCTCCAAAAGCTGCAGATTATCTGGACTCCAGTGAGTCCAAGTTTAGTTCTGTGTCCAGAGCTTCCGCTCATTCAGACCCAGTTTGTTTTGGACGGTTTGAAATCTGGAACTGTTTTAATAAATGTTCTTTAATCAATGAGTCGGTTGTGTCTGATATCTGAGGAAGTTTGAAGGTCTGGGATCTGAGCTGGAGTTGATGAATGATCCCAGAAGGATCTCCTCTGGCTTCATCCTGCATGGCACCATGACTTTCCAAACCATCATCAACGTTCCACATTTGTCCTGCTGCGAGGCATCAAACTGCTCCACTGTA